TTCCACCCAAACGTGGTTCCAGGGGACGATTTGCGCGCTGCCCCCAGATTGATGGCGTGGCGTCACCCGGTCACCCGGCAGAGCTATTATGCGTTTAACGGTGGTTTTGGAGGGATTTAGGTGTGAGCTGTTTTGGTTGGTTGGCACACTTTATTTAATTGCTCTTCAGAAAAATCTAAATAAACAAGGGCACGGATAAAATGAAAAAGGAAATGAAATTAGGTGCAATTGGGTGACATGTTTTGATTTATAGACTTACGGGAATGTAACAACCATCCCCCTTTTAAGATTCCGCGTCGGCTCCCACTTCTTCACTAATATCATGTCTTTGACAAGATTTGTCTCTCCATAGCCTTCATTCAAGCAAGGTGTCATTGAAGGGCCATTCACCCACATCACCTGTACGAGGTGGTCTGAGAGAAGAAGAAGGCCGCCCACCGTGATTACGCCGTATCCTCCAAAGCGGAGAGCGACCCGACGGAATCTGGAGGAGCGGAAAAAGCTGGACAGATTTGCGGAAAGAGATGAACTTGTGGATGTTGTCTGGGAGAGATCGGAAGATGGGGTGAAGGATTTCCCGTTTTTAGATGAGAATGAAGAGGCAGTGGAAGTTAGAGAAGACGACGAGGAGGGGGAGGAAGCGGTGTTGGATCGGTCTTCCAGTATTTTCGTGTACTCCGCGACATCGAATTTTTGGTTCTGGAGGTTGATTTTTATATGCGTCTCTGCTGAAGGGGCGTCATATGTGGGATACGGAGGTTTGGAGGATGTGGAAGGAGGAATGACAGAAGATTTCGTCTGTTCGCGCGGCTTTATAATTGTGCCTTTTCGACTGGGAGGGGGTTTAACCGGGGTAGGGGCCTGTTTAGGAGGCATGGCTAGCAGCACCGCCCGGGAGACCACGTGCGGTGGGAGGGTGTGTTATTTCCTGTCTGCTTTTCAACCCATTGGTGGTAGATTGAAGTTAACAGCCGATTGAAGTGGTTAGAATGTTATACAATTTTTGTGTTGGTGACGGCGTCTAGAATCCATTCAGAGTGATGGAGAGAAAAGGTTTCGATCTCGACAGGAGGTTGGTGAGGTGATGTTTGTTCTGTTTGTTTTGTTCGGTAGAATGTTACAAGGCAAATATGGAGGAGTAAGGTTCCGATTGAACATTGAACCCTTTTTCTTTCAATCAGTTAATAAGAATTCCTATTCCTAGCCGCGAAGCAGTAAAGCATTATGAATCGGCTTCCCGCATCCAGTTTTGAATATTGAGCAGAAATACATTGTGTCACATGCGAAACATAGAACTCCATCTTCCCACGCCCGCATTGTGCGAACATATAAACCATAATATTTTTCCATCCTCCGTTAAAATGAGTCAACAATGGAATAAGCAGGAGACTAAAATGAATCAGCAAACAAGGAGAAGATGAAAATATACGCAGCCATCCCTAATGATTAGCTGTTAGTCGGGTGTCAACGTCTCATTTAAGTTTCCCACGCGATGACAATTCGAAGTTCGAGGTAGCAATTGGTTAACAATCTCTGCGAAGGAGTCCTCTGCTGCGTACTCTCTAAGCAATTGTTGCGATTGGAATTTTGGTCGAGGGACGGTGAAACGGTGTTGGGCGCGGATGGGGAATAAAACTGGAAAACACATAAATGAACACGAGAAAATCACAATAAAGCATACATGGCTCTTTCCTTTTCATGAAAAGTCTCGTTTATTCCATTATGCAGAGTCGCTTTCCTTGAGGTCTGCAGTACTAGATACGACGCTTTGGACATCTGCGGACGTCGGCTCATCGTCCAGCTCAACGGGCTCATCATCGAGGCGCTCCGTCGTCGGGTTTGTCACTTCAGCCTGATCAACCTTTTCCCAGTCATCTTCACTTCTCTCACTGTCTTTGTCGAAAGTTGTGCTCCCAGAAACGTCAGTGCCGACCTTGGGCTTTTTGGCACTTGGTTGGCCTTCCAGGGTAGGCTCTGAAGTGGGAGGATCAGGAAGACTAGCAGCGAGTGTCGCGGGTGAGGATGACGGGTGAAATGGAGCCTCATTACTTTTCTCGGTCTCCGTCGATAAATCTTGCTCTGTTGGCGGGAAATACTCTCTATACAATTTGCAGTTAGTAGAATGACGATCGACCAAAGAGAGATATGTAGGGCCACTCACGGGAGAAGTATGAGATAGGCATCCGTATCTTTTTGTTCAAAAGTACAAAATATAATGCGTTCGAGGGGCCCGGGGCTTGTTTCCAGGAAGTGTCTAACTGCCGAAATAGCCACTTCCGCTGCCTTTAAGCTCGGATATCCGTAGACCCCCGTACTGATCGCCGGGAAGGCAATGCTTTTCAAACCACTTTCTGCTGCGAGCGCTAAGCTGCGCGAGTAACAACTGCGTAAAAGGCTCTCCCTATTCTCGTCTGCCCAGAACATGGGACCAACAGCGTGGATGACATTTCGGCAAGGAAGGTTATAAGCATTGGTGATTTTAGCATCGCCTGTAGCACAACCGCCCAGAGCGCGACATTCTTGGAGCAGACCGCGACCAGCTGCCCGATGGATTGCCCCATCAACACCACCCCCTCCTAACAGCGACTTATTTGCTGCATTTACAATGCAATCAACTTCGAGCTTTGTAATATCGCTAGTAATAAGACAGATCGAGTTGTTTAGGAATTGAGAGGGGTTGCTATTTCGAGGACTTGACGCAGGAACCAAATGCTTAAGCTTGTAAAGGAGAGACAGGTTAGGAATTTCCGATAATGGAATCCGAGACGAGGTCATTGTGGTAGTGTACGGGAATGAAATCCCAGCGCACTGCTGCAGAAGAAGGGGTATAATGTTTCAAAGAACCAGAGCTTTGAGTGAGTCGAGTGCGAGGCTGGAAGTACTGAACAGACTATCTGCGGAAAACCGCAACAGCAACAGTATCACTGATTCAATCCACTAAATAGATGAAGCAGAGCCGTAGACATGGTGAGGAGCGCTTTGGATGATAAAGTGGGATGGATGGGCATGACTGCAATAATAATTGGCGGGGACTTTGGGAGCTGTCTCGATGCACGTGATCTCGGATGACGTTATGATGTATGCGCCAATCTGATTGGTTCTGGATCGGCAACCATCTTATCTTATCTTATCTTAGCGTTCTCGGTCAAAGGCGGGGAAGTATCGAGTTATATAAAGTCACAGATCTATGTGCATTCTCTCTCTCTCACACACTCTCTCTCTCTTTATCTTTTTTGGCATACTGTTTTGCCTTTGAGATATTGCCCTTGGAGGGATCAACGCAGCTTCGGAATGTAATATACCCACATCGGAGAAACTGAAAGTCCTTTCCCAAAATGCATCTCAAAATCCGCTCTGCCACGGAATCTGACCTGCACCAGATCCACTCGATCTTTACCCACTACGTGCAAAATACTGTCGTAACATTCCGTGTCAATAAGCCACCATTCTCATACATAGGGAAAAGATTTCATGAAGCACAGGAACGTGGTTTACCCTATCTTGTTGCTGTGGAGAAGTCTGGCCAAGATAACCCCAGTCATGAAGGGAATCCGACAGAAAAAGTCTGTGGATACACTCTGGCTTCGGCCTTCAGAGGTTACATGCTCGCATACGCACCCACAGTTGAAATGTCTCTCCTTGTCCACCCTGATTACCAGTCACAAGGGATAGGAAGTGCCCCTCCTCTCGTCGTTGGTGGAAGCTCTAAGGGAGGCAAAACATTTTGTCCTATGGAAGTCGGCGATGCTGACTCTATAAGCGCGTCTTTCACTAAGCTGTGAATGTCGATGAATATAATTAGCTGGTTATGGCCGTCAATCCGCAAGGGAAAAATGGGGGCGAAGGCTTAAGAGATTGGTATGTCCAAAGGGGATTTATAGAAAGAGGGAGGATGCGGGAAGTTGGATTCAAACACGGTAAATGGTGATTCTCCCTTTCCACCCTTCCTCTCTTCCCTTTCTGCGTTTCCTCATATTGGGCGGGGATGCGTTTCTTTCCCCGCCATGGACTTCATGTAAAAATTAAGGTAACGTCACCTAATATATAGGACTCATTCATCCGTCATTCCTCAATTCCACAAATACCTAACACCCCTTCTTTCGCTTTAGGATCGACACAATATATCTTCAATACATTCTATGATATCCGTTGCCAACTGAGCTAGATTCTAGGATACATTTCAGGCTCTCAGTTGCTGGCAACAAAGAAGTAAAGTTGAAATCGAAGAGGAAAGATTAGGGTTGCGATATTCATTTCCCAGCAGTTCATACACAAACCATGTCTTTCTCTTCGCTCGCCACTTGGTATCTCTTAAGAGTTTTCTGAATAATCGAAATTATCAAATTGACAATCAAGATACCTTCCAGTTTCCTTTCCTTGAGCCATTCTTCATCATTATGCGTGAATGGTGTGAATGCGTTAACCAGGAAACCACCGATGCAAAAAGGATTAACATCCAGTGGCCTCACTGGATATAATGGAGCAAGCCTAATAACCAGAAGAGAGCTAGGGTTCTCACAGATGGATAAATCCAGTCGGAAGGGAAAATCGACGGCCTCATGATAGACGGTGGCTGGTATATGAACAGCCATATCACCGAATAAACACCCGCAGGCTTTCCACCTGGCACCATGCCCTGAAAAAGGGGAGCCGCTCATTCGAAACTCGTGAATCATCAAACCTGCTCCAGCGGGTGGCGCGCGATCGATACCCATTTAATTATTCTCACATCGCACATGTTTCGAATCCCTACAAGTGTTGTGTTCTGGACAAATTTGTACCCATGGAGTCAGCAGAAATCTAGTTTCCCGCTGCAAATGAAAGGTGAAGGGGGATAGATAGCCAGTAGTAGTGCCACATAACAAGGTAGAGATGAAGTTATTATGGCACAAAAATCTTGTAAACTGGTTGAGCTAGAAAATCTCACTTGGAACAGTTGGGGTAATTATATAGGAATGGCTGAACGACAAGTTGAACACGCCCCATAATCTTAATCCATATTTGAATCATATGGTAAAAGCTAGGCTACTCTCTGATCGAAACAGCCTTCTTGAAATCATGCGAAATGCTGAAGTCAAATCCACTGACTTCATAGAGAACTTCTGATCGTTGCGAAAACAATGGTGATGTAAATCCAGGCGTTAACTTTGTCACTGTTCTTTTGAATAGTTTATTTATTAAGTCAGCGCATCCTGATCATTACCTCGGATTGTCTTAACTCAAGGATGAGTTTTTCGGATCCGTTCAGTTTCTGAAATCCAGCAGTCTTCAAAAAGAGCTGGTCGCGAATGTAGGATTGAGAAAAAAAAAAAAAAAAAAAAAAAAAAAAAAAAAAAAAAAAAATTCAATAAAATCGAATAAATAACAACCGAGGCAAGCCATCGAACAGATGGAGCTTGGACCTCTGGACCAAAGCTAAACGCGGGCTTCTGACCGCTTCTTGATCCATTCAAAGCCCATGATTATTATTGATATTAATTGTCGGAGTAAAATACCTCCGGGCTGGTTCCTGTGTACGCAAATACAATACCGCGTCAATTCAAAAATCTCTCCTTCGCCGGGACGTTGAGGAACGCGTGAAAGCGTTACCGACAGGAAAGGTTACAATGCAGGGTGACAAAACCAGATTGCCCAAGCACAGCGCTGAGCTGAGCAAACTGAGATTAGCAATGGGATTGGGATGCTGAAGAACTTTAAATAATAACGCATCAATCGGGCCATTCAGGACAAAGCAGCAAGACCTATCCCGGTTGATCCCCACCGACACGATGGCTAGGGTTCCCAGCCGAAACATTTTAGTCCGCTGGTCCCCGCTGCAAGCCCGAAGAGAATCCGCGCAGGATGATGGGAAGAGATTCACCCTTGCCTCTGAGGTGAGGTGGCGTCCCCTCACTCGAAAGGATTTTGAAGATCGTGGTGCGAGTGCGGATTGTCCATCGCGGTCTTTGTTTTGAAACCGCGGCGTGCGCAAACTCGCGCAAAATGACTTATCACAAGCAGAATCCACCAATGTACAGATTTACTCCGTACAGTACTTCTGTACATACGTTTGCATCTGGGCCAGGTGCGAAATTGCGGAGAAAGCTCTATGATTAAGTTGCGTTGCGAAATTGTTTGCCAAGTCGGTTTCTGGAAGCTGTTTTCAGCCAGCCAGGGGACGATCCCACGTTTTGCTGATAGTTACATGATCCTCATGCTGGGGAAATATAGTTATTCTCCGACCGTTTCGCGGCCGAAATTATGATCCGTGTAATAAATCAAAGAGGGTATTACTACGGCGTATGTCTTGACTCTGCACTGCCATCTCAACCAAATATTTTTTGCGCTCGACTTCAAACCACCTACCTCTTTTCTGGCCGGAAAGTTTTGGTCCACCAAAAAAAATTTCCGTGACGAACTTGGCAGAGTCCTCATCAGCTCAAACAGTTTTCGAGTTCAAGCTCATGGTCAACGCCTAGAATAACTTGATAAGCGCTTCCCAGAAAAGCGGAACACCGGTTCGTAACTCCACAATGCGGAGGAATACAGTAGAATACTCTTACAAAAAACGCTCAAAAAGCTCGGTGCTCCGATGCACCTACCCCTTTGTAATTCGGAACGATAATAACACCAGCATCTATGTATCTACGCAAGCAATCGTTGCAAACCATGCCAGCACGGATACATGCCGCCGGTCCGAGGTTACTTTTATTCTTCCTACATCCCTCTCAGGGTATTTTCCTAATTGTCTTTGACTAGTTTTTTATTTAGTAGATATTTTTAGATGCGGTATGCTGCTGGGGAAGAATTCTTATTGGGGAAAACAGAGTTCCAGGGAGAGCACATACCTGGTCGAATTGTTCACATGCTCTCCTATTGTAAGGAAGAAAGCTCTTCTGAAGTCTGTACTCTGGAGTGCCTCCTTTGTTCGTCATTACCATCCGCTGATGAGAATGCAAACATCTTATCACTCTTAGTGAGATTTTTAATCTCGGATACAGCTGGTGGGTTCACAGATTCTGGGAAGCAATACTCCGTATCATTTGTCTCACCAGTCCAGAGGAGGTCAGGATCATCCAATTAACTCTGTAGAATAAATCCCAAGGTGAGCATTCGAGGTTCAAAAAATTAGACTTCTCAAAGGATTGAAGCACATACTGTGTAGTGTACAGATGCAGTCGATCTTCAAAGAGATCGGACAGATGATTCTTGCTGCGTCTTCTGACAGCCAGGAGGCCTGATCCACCGAGCATCGTTGTCTTGTCCCAAATCAACGCCAACATCCCAGCCATCCAAGAGCAAATAGGGAGCTCACATGGATGAGAGAAAGCTTTATGAGCTGACCGAATTCAGAATTCTTCCTTGTAAATACGCAATAGGCCTGTCATGATTCAGGGGTCCGTTATGCTCTTGTGACAGCAATTTTCAGAGCTTACGATGGACCCTCGGAAATCTAAGGAAATTAACGGGGATTATTTCTCCCTTTTTCCTTGACTTCTTTTGCTTTGTATTCTGGAAAATGATAGCTTGAATCCCACACGCAGGATAAGACCTCTTCTGAAATTTTTTAAAATAGCGACTCGCCAGCTGGCAAAGGGACAGATCGATCCGCCGGGTCCAGCCCCACATAATCCCCCAACCCCCTTACTTCTCACTGAAAGTAGACATCAATGAACTGCATGGATATTTATTGCCATCTCCATGGTTGCTATTGTTCTCGTCAAAAACCAATTCTCAAAAATAGGTTGCGGCCGAGATATATGTCCCCAACGACAGATACCCGATTCTGCCGCTCCTGTGTGATTTTCCACTCGGAGCACTTCACAGCGTGGTTTGTTCGAGTATCTTATTCAACCCGATAGGACGATCTGTTGCGATACACTTCAATTGCTGTCGCATCCACTCTGCAATGCAGTTTGCTGCTGAAAAGTCAAAATAAATAGCAGATCTAAAACCTTCCCGTAATCCAGGCAGCTGGGAGATACCAGTTAATAATTAGTTATCGATTTAATGGAGGAGATTGTCCCTGTCACTGCGAGATGTTCACCGACGATGCTACAGGACCAGATAGCTGAATTTCAGCCAGTAAAGGAACAATGCTGGGCCAAGCGTCCGGGTGATGCTTTTCTTGTCGGTTACAAGCTCCAGCCACACAAAGCGCGAGAAAATAGTGGGGGAAAGGAGAGGCAACAACGCCAACGGCCGTGGCGGTCGGGCACCTGCGACAAACACTTGGCGATCGATTAGACTGTGTGGCGCGATGCGGTTTCTTGAAACACCTTGGGCCAATATGAATGGGAATGCTAGTATCCGAAATGTCTCTGGTGTATCTCAATACGTAAAGCGTTAGCTAAATGCAATCTCACTATTCTGTATATTAATTGCGCATCTTACCATTTGTGCTCCTTGAAAGCTTAAACTTAATACAAAAGCTTTCATAGTATGTGGCCTTGCTGTCGGTTATTTACATGTGCAGCATGCGTGGAGGGAGTACTACCTCGCCTTGTGATAGGTAGATTTACCCAGCAGACGGGTGTCAATTGCAGCAGTCCATGATGACTCGCTTTGCTGTATTCTGTAGTGAGTTAGCCTTGGCACATGAAACCTACACATGAATCGGCCACAAAGATCCTTACCAAGTCTCCGGCTGAATATGCATTCTAAACAGGGATTGATGTGATGGAGGCCGGCCTAATCCCTTCAGAACACAAGATTTGAAGAGAATCGAGATAAGCGTTTCGTTTTTTATTTTGGCATGTGGAGGACGCGGTAATTTCCAGTTATCACGACAAGGGAGTAGCCTGTAATAATACGCAGAGATTGGCGTATGTACGGCATACGTGAAATGTTACTTTCACGTACAGATCTGTATTTCGTACAATGGGCCCAAGTTGCTGCGAGGAGTTGCTGCGAGGACCCACACACAATCATCATACAAGCAAAGAAACTGACCAAACTTTTCATGTGGTTCCCACCAGCAATTGAATATGCGATTGGCCGTTTAGAGGCCTCGGTGGAAAATCATCACGATTTGTATCACAACTGGCAGCAACGCAATGATACGGATTCAGCGAGGGACTCCTTGCTCAGCAGCTGCTGGGGGTAACAGAAGTA